GGGGGGGGGGTCTTCGACCTGAAAAATCAGGGGTTAGGATTTGCACCCGGTCGAAAGAAACCTTGCTATCGCAAGAGTAACTCCAGCTAGCTTCGCTAGCTTTCGTGAAAAATCCCTTGGCTCTGCCGAGATGCCAAGGAATGCGAACCACATCGCTCCGCTACCTGGAAATCAGAGAGGTTGCAGATTTGGTGGGGGAGGGGGCGACCGCTCTAAGAAGCCAACAAAAGCCACAAGAAACTACCAAGGCAATTTGCCCAGAAGTTGTTTAGAAGCCACCACAAGCCAACAGAACCCACGAGCCATCCGAAGCCAACTGCTTCTTGCCGTGCTTCCAGTTTTACGTGGGGGAAGGAGACGTTGGTTTTGATGGTTAAGAAGAACAACACACATGTTTCCTCACGTCACCAAGGTCGACGTGCCAAGTCGTCTCCGGCTGTGGTCGTCTCACGACGTGAACGACTGCCACGGTGGTTCACACCGACACCGTCGTCCCCGGTGGTTCTGCCACGGACACCCCGTGAGATGACCTCGACCTAGGAGCTATCAATAGACATCTTGTTGTGGAGCCCTGGTATATTCATATTAAATAATATTAATTATATGATAATATAGTTAATATAAATATAACAGGGCCCCACAACTGTCTATTTTACTTTATTTGATTTTTTGGGGTAGTATTGTAGAGTTGTTCTGTAGACTGTTGCAACTAATTCTACGAGACGGTTCAAACGTCAATGAGTCATGAGGTTGCATCAACGGTTTCAGCGGTTGCAGTGACCACTTTGAACGTCACCAATGGTTCTAAGACTATATATATATATTACACACACATATATATATATATATTATATAAAGGGAATCCTGGAAAGCATGAACGCATGAGCCCCAATGGTTCCCATTACATGATCACCAGAATCACCAAACATCTCTTGGCAGCTTAATTACTCCTTTATGCTCCTTTCATCTCCTTTCACCACAAACACACACACAGACCTGCTTGAGCTGTGAATTTGTGAATTTCGGTGTCCCATCCAAATCCCCCGTCTTCCCCTGCCTCTGCATTCGCACGGAGGGCCCAGAACTGGGGGTGCACAGACCGCGGTGTCACAGACCGCGCCGCACCGGACCGAGGCTTGAGAAAATCAAGGAGTCGGAGAGGAGCGAAGGCGCGAGCACGATCTGCAGATGGGGTGAAGGATGGGGGGAACCGAATCGTGCCTCGGTGGATTCTGCTGTCCTTTGGAGAGGAAGCCGAATCGGCCAACCAATCTCAACCTCCTCCGGGTGTTGCCTTCCCTGAAGCAACTGCAAGCATAATCGGAATATAACCAAGCAAAATTAAAGTATATAACTAGCGACACAGGAAGGCGGATGGAAGCCCCCACTTCAACCAAAGAAATCAGCAGTGAGATTCCTGAACCCGAGAACCCCGAGAACATACCGTCATCAAAAGGCACTGTCTTCACAATGGCACTGTCTGGGCATGGCGTCCTTTGACCATAACCATCACCATGGGCCAGCTTTTCCCCGGCTATGCCCAATACGGTGAATGGAAGGTGCAGGTGCACTGTGCAAAGGAATGGCATTGATGCCTGCTACGCACTGTCATAATTCCACTCTGCCAACCATTTGGCATAGTCCAAGGCTCGAATCTTTAGGTACTGTTGCTGTGTAAAGTCATGTGGAACCATTGCAACCTCTGTCTACTTTCCTGTGGCTTAGCATCAGTGAGCTGGACACCTCCAACACGCGCACCGGCTTTGGACTGTACCCAAATGGGACCCCGAATTACGGTCATTGGCGCGCATGAGGTACTCTTCTTCATGGCGCCAGGCGACACAGGACATCGGACACCATTCTTCAAAAGCCCATGTCTGTGTCGTAGGAAATGCTCAGCTGCCCTGTGGCAGGGATGTAGTTGGCGCGCAAGCTGCTGATAACAAAGGTGGCGTACATGGAGCCGCCACGAACCTCCAATGGCTGGACTGCATCTTTCATCGTTCGCTTCATTCACACGTTGTTAAAAGCGGACTTGAAGGCCTGAAGGTCCTTTCGAGTCCTCTTGAAAGGTGGGCCTGGTTTTCTGGGACACTCAGCCTCTGAAGGCTCCTTCGCCCTAAGCTAGAAGCAAAGTGTTTCAAGCTCCCGGCCTTGGTGGCTCCGAAAATGCCAGCAGCATCTTTTGAAGTCACCACGATGCTCGCATCAGATGGGCAGAAATTCTCTGGCACATAGGAGCAACGACCGCGGGAAAAGAGCTGCTTGAAAATGCCGAACTTCACATTCTTGAAGGACACAGAGCCTGCTCTGTTCAACCAGCTGAAGACACAGTATGACAAACAGGCAGGAGTCCAGCTTGGCTACTGCTATTGATTCTTGAGCGCTTCAAGAAACAAGTGTTAACAAAACCCCACTAAATCTTTTATAACTTATATTCTCACCGATACTTTCTGTCCTTTCAGCCACATTGCCAGTGACATTGCCTGAACTGAAAACTAACACCGCTACATTTGCCTCCCCTCGGGAGCCTGGCGGAACTTCCCACATGCCAGCTCTTTTGCAGATCACCATGGAGGCCTTGATTCTGTCACCGATGTTCTTGATGACACTGCGCGCCTCGGCGCCCTCTTCCTTCTCTGTTTGTTTGCGAGCTTTCTCGGCCTCCTTGGCTGCTTGCTTCTCTGCTTTGTCTTGGACCTGGCATGAAGTAAATGCAAGCATCATACATCGTTTCCGCGGAATTCCTTGTTCACCCTGATTTGGCTAACAATTCATGATCTATAGAGCCAGAACATAACACACATGTTGTGTGGTGCGGAATCACCAAAGCGGAGTAACATTCATGAATCAGTGCTCTCCATCATTAACCATGCAGCGAGACACACAGCATTGACCCTCTATATCCCTCTACCATCGATCACCAGTAGCTTGGCCATCATTCTGATAAGTCAAGTTAACTCAGTCAGGTCAAGTCCGACCTCAACAGCTAAGCCAGGCATGTGATCAGTTAAGCCTGCCATCATGAAGGTGTCATCATCTTGACCGCCCCTACACGTCCCAACGAACACAATTCGACCAGCCGTTTGGACCTCGCAAGGGAAATAGACCAGTCTACCCAGCCAGGGCCAGGGTACCTATCAAATATGTGTACTTAAAGAACCCTAAAGTTTACGCTTCTTACTCCGTTCCAACATGACACTTGCGGTCTACAGCGGATCGGATTGACACGTCCATTTTGCCTGGCAGGTACAGCACGGTTAGATTTCCACACCCGTTTAAATTCAAATAATACCTATATAATGCTTTCAGGTGTGGAAATCTGACCGCAACTTAGGTGTCGACATGTTGCACGTAGGATTCTAATGATTCTAAGGGGAAAGGGTTTGTCCCGATTTAGAAGTCAAGAAGCGCAACTTTCGGCACCCCAGTGTATGCGAAGAATCTAGTATAGTATGAATAGTTCAGTCTAGCATTAGCACAATGTGACCAATGTGACCGTATTGCATCATATACTATCTACTCTCATCGAACCTCTGTAGCCGTCCAGGCCTTCAAAGCATCCCTGCCCTCTTTGGTCGTTGACTGCTCGGCACGCTCCGCCTTTTGCCGGGCTTCCTGCGCTGCGGCCTTGGCCACTTCAGCACGCTTGGCCAAGGCAGTAGCCTTTGCTTGAAGGGATTGAGCTCGTTCCATGGCCTCCACGGCTGCTTTCTCACATGCAATGGCCTCCTGGGACATTTCTTCAGCTTCAGATTCCAGCTTTGAAGCAGTCAAAGCGAGTTCTTCCGCTTCCTTTCTCCGACCACGTTTGGGTGCACGTTGGCCGGGTGGCGTGGCTTGGGAGCTCTCTTTGCGCTTGTTCTCACGCGGAGGTGGTGTCTCTAAGACCGCCTCTCCACTGATCATGGCGAACATGCTGAAACCAAGCCGAAGCAAATGGATCTTCAAGCCAAAATGTTGCCATCCTCAAAGAACTGGTATTTGTACACAACACATCTTACAGTAAGTCTTCAGAAACAGTTCAAGCTGTGGTGCGCTGGCTACTGCACAAAGCATCACAAAGCGATGTTGTTGGCATGGTTTCTTGCAATTGACAACCCTTGGATTGTGACCAAAGTAGTAGAAACCCAGAAAACCTAAATACTCACTTTGGCAGCAAAAGCCTGGGACACTGGATTGAAGCTGCCTTTTTTATAGCGAACAGAACAGGCCGGCTGTCAGGTTGATCTTGCAACTTGTCCCCGGCTTCACCTGCAGTGCCGCAGGGCATCCCACGATGTTCTTTGTGACTGAAGTGCTTGGGTGAACCAGCGAGTCGACCGCCCTTGGAGAGCTCCGAAAGACGTTCGCCACATCGCCCTGAGGTGCTCGGGCGTGCGAAGGCGGCGCCGTGCGCCCAACAAATGTGACCTGTCCCAGAGTCAACTGGCGGACGTCCCAGTAAGCATGGGACTGCCGATCAGGCCAGGGGTGGTTGACCTGGGGTCCATGTAAACCATGCAATACACTCCCTGAAACAATCATGGAAGTGGATGGCATGGCCCCTTGGAAGACAAAGCCCTTTCTTTCCTGCAGGCGGTTTAAAAGCACCTAAGGTGCGGAAAACTCTTTACTTCTCTGTATCTGGTTGGTTGATGTTGGTCGTGTCCGATTCCCTCTCCTCCATGCAACAGTGGCACTACAAAGACACTATTCGACTGCCTTGAACTCAAGCCCTGCTCGATCTATGTCCATCGACTGCCTCCGCCATGCCGCGTCGACCACGAAGAAAGCCTCGCCTCAGCTCACGTCGGTCGTAGTCTGGTGAACCTTTCGCTCATGGTCGGCCTTCGCTCAACTCCCTTCACTCACGGTTCTCCAGTGGTGGGCGCCCCACAAGACTGACATCCCAGAAGTCTTCCGAAAGAACATCTGCAGTGTCCGCAGCATCCTCGAACCCGGCACATCACGCAGCGCAAGTCTTCCCGCTCGGGATTTTTTGGAAGCTGAGGTGGAGAAGCACCGAATCTGATTGGTTTGAAATGGTCGGAGTGTCCGCAGCGACTCGGTTCTGCACATCTGCACACCACAACAAGTGGCCACTGAGTTTGTGCAAGTCCATCTCTTTGTCCAGGTGGCAAGTGCTTGTATAAGCAACCATCATCCTCCAATTCCATCTCCCTATGAAACAGGGAATGCATCACAACACTCCGGCAGTCTTCAAAGCTTCAAAGTGCTTGATTCTGTATCTCCTCAAGAACTCTTCCACTTTCCCTCGCACGGCGCACGAGAAAACGAGTACGGATTTGAAGCGCCGGTAGGCTGGTAGACCCATGTGGTGAGCCCAGCAGCTTTGCTATACATAGAAACACTACTAGTATGAAAAACTTAGTTCTTTCTCTAAGGGTGGTTGCATGTGGTTGCTAATAGGCTCGCTGGCTCCTTCCTGACCTTCCCTTAGAACACTCCTTTCATGAAGCCACACTCTAGCCATGACCTTCCATTGGACACCCCAGTGTGATAACAGAATCCATACCCACTACTGCCAGAACGCTTTAGGACGACACCTTGCATCGTCGAGTCGCATCCGGTTTGAATATGAGTGGCTGGATCCAATTGCGTTGCAACTGGTGGTTACATATCCCAGACACTCCATGGGACTGCCATAGGACTGCCGATCAATTGGGGTGGTTTTGGGGGGTCAATGTGGGCATATATGGCAATACATGGAGTGTCTGGGTCTTGTTGTTGATACCTGAAATCTGACCGTCGGAGACTCTTTTCGATTTGCTTCTTCACCATCAGGGCACCTGGCACAGGTTCTGAAGCGATCTCCAACCTGGTGAGTGCATGTTGAAGAAGTTGAAGCTTCTGAGCAGTTGAGAGCTCACTCACCTCGCCCACAAGACCGGGTAGGGGGTTGAAAAGAGACCAAGTCATCTCCAAGCCTCCCAAAGATGTGGCAAAGACTTACGTAAGTCAAAAAGTGACCAAAAGACTTGGCAAGCCTCTCTTAAAGAATGTTGTGGCTTCTAAGAAAATCAAAAGAATGGAAAAAACATCCCCCACAACGCCCACTTTTCTCGACTCACGTTCCATGTGGAAAACAGCTCCCACAACTGACTGACTGTTGTTGGGGTGCCGGGAACTGGTGTTGACCGCCACAAGAGATGACCAAACCGTCGAAACGAGCGACGCGGATCGACGCTGTCGTACTTTGGACCCCGCATCTGAGCACAAACTGAAAACAACGATCTGAGCATATCTGCTTCTATCAGTTCTATGACTCATTATAACATCAAAACTATTTCAAAACATTTCAACTAACTCTGTCATGTCAATGCGTACAACTCCAGGTGCGCCCTGCATCGGATAACTTTCTTCACTTATGAATTTGGGGATGGTCGCTTTTCACCTTCCATGACGATTGAATGCTTGAACCAAAAATAATAGACCTCAAGCCACGAATTCCAACCACCTCCTCCACATCCTGCCCCTCACACCTTCTCTACATCCAGCCCCAGCATTCCACATTCTCTCCCAAGTGGCCGCTCCACTGGCATCCAGCTCCACTTCTCCAATCACATAGTCCGCTTCCACGCGCGGCACTCGCCCTCCGTCGAGGCGTTCGTCGCGTTCGTCGCCCTCGCGCGGAAAGCTTACCTGACCAGTCGATCGATGGGTGACCCGAGCGCAATGCTTTTTTCCAGGTGGACGATGGTGTACCAACAAAGGTTGAAGAACCCGAACTAGACTATCCAGTTCGGTACCCCAGTAGGGTCCTAGTTCAGGTCACTTAACCTCTCTTGGTATTTGAATGACAATTCTTTGGTGTGTGGGGTAAGTAACTAGTGGTGCCTCCCAACCTCACAATCTCCGGTCACCGGAAATTGGTCACTGGTATCATCGTTTGGACGACACGGCTTTAAGCCATTTCCATGTGGTGCGGCCCGAAACATTTTCAGCCAAAGGAAGAGTGCTGGAGTATGTAACTCACGACCGCTCATGAAGGTCTGCAAAATAGTTGTGTTGTATGTAGGGATATGCATAATATGGACGACTATCACGGGATGAGGGCTGAACTTGGAAGACCGCAAAGGAACAGTTGACGAACACCCGGTGGTTGGAGCGTCTATAAACCACTAGGTTCTTTACATACATGCACACAGCCACGTAATGTAGATGAAGAGGTTGTTCAATCCCAACATGGGGGGTTATTAATCAAGAGTCCACATTGTGGCAATGTGGCGCATGCAGGCTTTGGGATGTTTGGGGCGCGTGGCATTCCTCCAAGTGGCGCGATCAATGTCGATGAACACCGCAAAGCTGGTGCCGGTGTCGGGCATAGGCATGGTTGCCTGGCAGCATGATCGAGCAGGAACCGAAGAGAAAGGGAGCAGGTCACTTGCGTACGGCGTACGATGTGGACGTGAAAAACATGTATATTTGTTGAGGTTTTTTCTTTGTTTGCTGTGTCCAAAAACCAAGCCTGAGAAGGGAAACTCTTGCACAAAACATAAGACGCTTAAGCCATCTTAAACCTAGAGTTCCAGCTTGAGGTCACTCACCAACTCTCCACTCACTGGAAAGTTTCAGAGTCCGACTTTGAGTTTACATAATTTTGTGCAATCAAAGTGTTTTTTAATACTATTTTCAAAATTGAGGTGACAACAAACTCATGATGCAAGTGATGCTTACACATGTGCATTGCATTTTGTGCATATATCACAAAAAATATCAAAACCCAAACCCATTGATCATCATTCACACGAGCATAATCTATCAAACACTTTCAGTTGCAGCACTTCGTTCCCTAAAACATCTTCAGCCTAGCCTATCGCCTCGCTTGCGTCAAAATAGAATACTGGCCTCAGTCGAGGCATCTCCCCCATCCCTTTTCTCTGCAACTCCTGCGGCCTTTCTTTCTTTGGTTCAACCGGTCCAAACGGATGGGCCTCGACCGCTGAACCCCACTGCACCGCCGACCGCTGGCGCCTTATACCTTCGCCTCCACGTCTCGATCCGCGCGAAGACGTCCAGGTCGCCGGGTCCGCCGGGGCCGGCGCCGCGAGGCGCGGGGAGCGACAGGTCCAAGGTCTGCAGCCGCTCCGCGATGCGCGGGAGCTCCGTGAGTTCGCGGTAGACGCTCCTTGGCAACGGCAGGTGCAATGGCAGGTGGATCTGGCAAAAGATGGCGACGAATCAACGACAAGATTAGGAAAAGCATGGCAATAAAAACTATATGGCTTTGAATGCAGGGCTGTTGCGCATACAAACATTTTTACAACGTACTTGACCAGTAAACAAAATGGTAGGGGAGACATGGCTCTGGAACAGGCTGTCCATTGGACTAACATGGATGGCAGAACCTATATATATATATATACAGTATCAATCCGTATACCCTTTTCAACAAACATGTCTCGTCTGTCTCGAAGAACAGCCACGCCAGTGGCCTAGGGACATTCTGATCATTCCTCAATGTCCCTGACACCACGATTCTATGTCCCTGACCCTGACCATAATGGTATAAAGCTAGGAAGACACACCATGAGGAATGATATGGGATGATTCTTCAGACGTGTATATTGGTCACGACTGTGTCTTCTGAGATGATCACCTGAGAAGATCCGACCACGTGGAATTACCATCTCAATCCGACCACTCAAACCACTCTATGTATACTTAGTCCGACCACTGTATACTGGTAGCCCCGCGAAGTCCTGACCATGTCAATCCAAGACTCACGAAGTCTCCGTCCAGCGCCTTTGCGCCGTCCTCTCTGGCCTTCAGCTCCAGCGCGCCGTCGCGCTGCCGAAGCCAAAGGTCCCGGGTGGTGAGCCGGAAGTCCGAGGTGTCCCAGTAGACCTGAGGTGATGTCACCAGTGATATACGTCTTATATAGTTTTGAGATGGGAAACAGCAGTGCCCATATGCAGTGCCCAGTTGATTAATGAAACAACTCAGGTTGGTGATCAGTTGTCCCCTGAAAGATCAATACTCACCTCTCCACAATATAGAAGGCAATGTGGGTCGACCTTTGCCCCAGCTCATTGACTTATTCGTGAAATGAAGAAGAGGCCCAATTCCAAAAACTCAAAAGTACAATTCATGCTCTCTCCAGTACAAAAGGAGCCCAAGAAAAGAACATGCTGACAGGTCAGGTCCAAAACTTGGAGCTAGGGTTGTGAGGTGAGAACATATGAAGTTGTCTGAAAAGCCCCTCTCTAATATATATATATATATTCCCTATACCACTGTTGATGTAGAGTGTATACAACCGTATACGGTGCAAACATGGAGTGCGTGGGACCTGCCAAACTACATATTAATTAGACATGAACACAATTCATTCCAACTCATTCTATCCCAGAAACCCATGCAATAGCAACTCACCAAACATCCTTCCCTCCTCTCTTACCGTCCATGGAGACCACATGTGTGGGCCTGTCTACGGGAAGGTGTTTTAGGCTCGCTGCGTTATTGTGTTGGTTGTCGTTTTGATGCAAATCCGGAAAAACGTGTGTAGTCCACACTCAACCGACTGAACCCTTGTGCAAAAATCCTCTTCATCAAAACAAGAGTTATCCGGGGTTATCGCCCTTTTTTCTTCAACTATCGTTTTACAGTGGTTTGAGCATGCTTCTGTCAAAATGGACAATGTGAAGATTACTTTCTTAGATGGGGGGCTTATACTTTCACATACGCTTGTGGTTCTTTATCCTGGTCTATAGCAATTTGATCATCTTGACGAACCTTTTTGAACCCAGCAGTGTCAAAGTTGCCATACCTACCTACCCTGTGCAGTTCACTAGGTTTCGAACCTGCCTACCCGGCGCTCGGCTTGTTCGCTCGGCACCAAAGGATGCGACGGAATTATCTGCCGTGATATCTACTTATGTAATTTACATGGCTGATGCTTCTCAAGGGCTCTAGCATCTAGAGGGCCTCTATGTTTGGCCTTGATTCTTGCTTTACAGATGTAGGCCTTTTAGACCCTGTTCTCAAGTTGACGCCAAAAAGACACTTTGAGAGACCATTGGTTGGTGTTCGTCCATCCCTTCTTTCTGACAGAATGAACAACCTGAGCTTATTTGTCGAATCTTTTTGGTCTAATGTTGCCTCCCCCCACGGACGACAGCAACCTGAATGGTGAAGACGCCGAGCCGCGTCAGTGAAGCGTGCTTCGTCGCTGAGCTCAGCAGAGGCTTCGAGGGACGACAGGAGTGGAGCGCTGCAGTGGAACTTCTGCCTGGAAGGGGGTCATAGATGGAGATCGACATGGCAGTTGGGATGAAGAACAGGGGGCTCTATGGGGTTCTTCTTAGAGGTGGTTACAAAACAGGTCCTTTGGCAACCTGAAAGATTGAACATGATTGAACCTTGAAAGCTTTGCGGGGTTGGGTCGGCGAGGGTTCCCCAAAATCATCAAGAAAAAAGCACTCACATTTCCCCTAGTCCATGACCTATTAGTAGCTTATTCTGGGGAGTACCGGAACAATTCATGAAATTACATTAAATTTCACCCGTCGCTGAAAACCAGGAAAAGGTCCTGTTGCTGTGTCTGGCATCCCTTTGAGACTAAGCATAGATTTGGGACAGGTCTGATAGATATTTTTCGCTGAGAGCTGATCATGCTGCTAATCTTGCTAACACTTTTTCCCCCTTTCACTTCCGTTTGGGGTTTGTTGAGGGACTACTAACGCAACGTCATGCCTTGAGTGCCCAAGTGTTATTTTGTGCTTCCTCGCGTGACCCTGACTGCAACTAAGTTGCTCCACTTCCAAAAACCCCTCAGAAGAGCTCATCACACTGAAGGCTAGTCTCGCTCTCTGAAGGCTCAGCAAACCTGAGTGCTTCTCGCAGCAAGGCGCTCCGTGTCTCCAATCTGACGTGTGAACACGTCGTGCGATCCACTCGTGTGGGAGATGCCCGGGGGTGGACTAGCTGCCTGGCTCTTCGCGCATGTTAGGGGCAATCACATACTAGTACACCATGGTTTCCGGAGGTTGAAGAACTCAATTATACTACTCAATTAGAGTACTCCGCAGAAGAAAGCAAACATAAAGAACACGAATTGTGTTTGATCGAAACCTTCTAGGTGTTGACGTTGAAGGGGTGGGACTTCCTGTGTGGTTGGCCTTCTTAGACCCTCTTGTGATGTGAGCATGGCTGCTTTTTACCAATTTTACCTCTGCACTGCTGTTTGCTGATGGTTTGAACACAACAAAACATTGAAATGACGAGTGACATCTCATAACTAGGTAGATCATCTCCCGCACCCAAATCACAGGATTTCGGTTGACAGCTGCTGTTGCAAACGTGTCATGATAACTGGGTTGTTGGCCACTATTCCTCAAAACCGATTGAGTTTTCAGGCAATGGAAAAGCAACAGGGAAACAGGGTGCCTAGCTCTTCCTTAATTGCCAAATTATTCTCTCATTTGTTCACGCAAACTTCTATAGAGGCTTCAAAGGCCTTCTATCTATTCAATCATCTATTAATGTGTTGTTTTGCAAAAAAAACAGAAAGCCTTTGATTCCTCCAGCAAAATAACACAAAACATCAGGGGTTTTCCAACAATAAAGATTAGGGGACAGCTGAGTCGAAATGGCATGAAGTAATCCATCAGCAATGGCAAGTTTGGTCGCTGGAAGTGATCCATTTCAAACCAAATCAATGGAACCGAGTCCCGAATTGGCCTTTTTAATGAGGGGGTGGGGGGAGGTTCGACTTCGGGTTCGCAGGGGGCTCGTGATGATTGAGACATATTGAAACATTACTTGAGACATGTTGAGACATATGGATCAGAATGTCAGACCCTGACCAAACCTAAAAATACCCAAACCTATTTCCAAACGCTGACACCGGAGGTTCTTCACCGACGCGCCCCAATGGGGTGAGTGTCGGTCCAAGCTGGGCAAGTCACATCCAAACGGAACTGGAATCAATGCCTACATTGACCCCTGAAATCAAATGTATGCAAGATTTTGCAAGTATGCCACATGTGGCTATGGGTCAAAACCATGGAACCCACGGAAAACACCACGGAAAATGACCAAGGCCAAGGAAAAGATTGTCGCTGTGTAGTGATGAAACCATCCCGCAGGAAGTCTTCTTCGGACCTACCAAGGTGTACGGCTCCGGGTTTTGACCCACTGCCATATATGTCACATGATCATACATGGAGTGGCTGGCAAAAGCTAGTTTCCATTCGTTTCCCTTGAATTAATACGGGTCCCCGAACCGAAGAAACTCCAAACACCAAAAGAGGGCGACTCTAAGGTGAATGTAGCAACACATGCCACATGCGTAGGCCAATGTCGCAACACGACCAAAAAACACGGCAAGCGCTCCCCACGCTGCTCCGAGCGTCTCAGGGTACCCAATGCCAACACGAAACGCCCATGGCCTTTCCAACGCATCCTTCTGTCCCTGTGAACCCAAAACGCAACTTCTGCATGATAAAAAAACATGTAAACGATGTAAAAACACGGCCAACTGCGCTTTTTTTTCTTTTGGATACTGTTGGTCCCGGTCTCTGTACGGATTGGACGCCCTAATCCCGTTCAGATTGGTGAGAGATGCAGGTGACCACCGACCTGGATCCCACGTCGTGATGGAACAGTACGAGCACAAGGTGTGATTTCTTCGAGTTCGTGGAAGATTGAAGCTATATTGTTTGGCGTTCCCGGTGTCCACAAGAATCTCAAACATCTCAAACACCAGGTTTGCTGAACATAAATTTTGACTTTTCTATTTTTGCAGAGTGAATCCAATGTAGCCGACGTGAACTTGACGGGACCGGGATTTTCTGTTCCGCCCTCCCCCCCCCCCTTAATACGCTCAAATAGACGGCAAAACGGCACGTCTGAGGACACTGTTTTGTTGTTTCCCATCCAATGCATTGGCTGTGGACGAAACCTTGTGGCACCTTGACCATGGCCAGTTGCATCACCATGACGATAAAAAAAATCACTAAACATCATTATTGTGGACACATGTTTCAGACACATCCAGCGAGCCCCTTGAAGGCCGCGAAAGCGGGCCTAACTTAATTTATGTATTATTATGTGTCACTCTTCAGGGTTTATTTGGTCTTGTGGAGCCGGGAGAGGTGTTTTTGGGATGCTGAGCCGAATGGTCAAAGGCCGACTCGCCCAGGAGTTCGTTGGCGCACGCGGGTGAAAGCCTTCAGCTTGGCACCAGCGGCAATTCGAGACATTTGATGTGCCCAGGGCTGCTGATTTCATCTGATTTCTGCAGATTTTACTGAATCGAAACACAAATCATTCGAATAAGATCGAATAAGTAAGGCTGGAGGATAAAAATGAAGCAGCCACATCCCAAAAAACATCCAAAAAACCATCCGTCAGGCACCATGGATCCACATGGCCTTCGACTTGGGTGTTTTTTACATGCGCAAGCAAGCCATGCCGGCATGCCTCTGGGTTTCACATCACCCCGGAGACTATGGAGTGAAACGAAGGCGAAGTCATGGCTGATGCTTCTGAATACGCCAACAAAATTGGCACAGCGATTCCGCACATGACATCAAACTACCTGCGGGTGCTGCCACAGGAAAATGACATCGTGCGACTGAAGCAAAATAACACAAAAACAGAAACAGCCACTCGCAGATGAGATCTCCGCACCGCTAAAGCCCACTGTTGCTGTTGCTCAACCTCACTCCGCCCGACAAGCTGGAGAGCGACGCCAAGATCTGTGCCTCATGTGAGGTGCAAAAGGGAGGGAGCAAACAAACGAAGCCATACGAAGCCTAAGTACCCCTAATACTCAGAGCCGTCAATTGGGATTGTCCTCTCAGCACCTTGACCTGCCTTTTGCCCAAACACTAGTAATTAGTGGAAAAATGCAAATTGCAATGCAAATATGAACTTTGTTTTCCACGCATGTGCGCTGTAACTACTGATCACAACAATCTACAATGAAGGCACTGGTGAGCGACAAAACTGTGGGTCTAACGTAAATGCGGTATCTTTGTTTACCTCGTGCTGATGTGAATCTACCGAAGCGGGCAACGCATCCAAGAAAGGAGAAACAAGCACCTCCCAATCCAATCCAGTTAAGGGGCACACGAAGAACTTCACTCTAGAATAACATGTACCAGCTGTTGGCTGAAACGTTTAAAACCAAACGTCTTTGACTTGCTCATCCCATTGTCGATCCTTAGCCTCCCGAAACACTTGCCGCAAAAAGGGGTCGAGTCAGGTCAGGTGTTTTGGAGTTCTGGGCTCCAACGATCTCCAGTGGTCCTCCTGACCCCCTAGACTATGCCTCATAGTTACGTAGCATGTCAACATGTGTCAACATAAATGTTTGATCGTCCCTTTGTCCTCTCCCAACGCCAGCAGCAAATGTGATGATGTAACAGTATCATCAGTATCTATAGTAGTCATTAGTAGTCTAGTGATTAGTGGGATTTGTGATGCCCTATTCCATGCTGACACCTGCGCTGACTGCCTGTTTCATCATTCTGGCACGTTCCAGGGCATAGACCTGCGGTGGGTCTCCCCGTCGTCGGCACAGGAGCGCACCGAGGCAGTTGCTTTGGGTCGGCTCGTGCTGGGACCGCAGAGTCCAACAGAAACCCAACATGCAAATGACCCGCTTCGTAGAGCCTGGGTGTGTGTTGCTGCGTGCCAAAAATAAATAGGTTAGGATAGGTTAGGATTGATTTGTTTGCTTTGTTGTCTGTGTTTGGGGTCAAAAGCCTGAATCTTCCAACTTCCACCAATGTTGAAAGCAGGAGATGACTGGGCCGCTTCAAATCAAAAAACAACACGAATGTATTGGCAGTTTCATGGCATCCCAGCTGGATGGCTAAACGTGTGAAAGCAAAGAAGCATAAAAGCGCAACAACTACTACTTGCAAAGTGTTCTGATGCAAATGACTTTATCATCCTCAAGTTGAACCGACGCCTACTAATTACAATAAACATCAATAAACACATGTTCCGAACGACCAAGTGTTCGGAGTCCAAACGATTGGAACGTTGACGGGTGCAGAACATGGTTGGTCGTGCCTCGTGCGGTTCCACCCACCACCCTACGCCTTGTGCCGACGTCATCAAGCCGTAAGACGGCCTTCTCCCACCCGCCGTCCGGCACGGTGGTTGCGGACGAGTCCCCGCAGCGGGTCCCCCACGGCCGGACGGTGCCTCGGCCCTTCGGAAGCGGATCTTGACACCCTCGGCACTCTTCAACTCCTGCGGCTTTTCGGCGTTCGCGTGGCGAGCCTTCTCAGCGAGCCTTCCTCAGTCTGTTGGGACCGCGTGGTCTCTGAACACCCAGCCCAGTGTGGATGGAAACGGGTCCGCCCAATGGATCTATCGTATGCCACCTCGTCTGCCTCCGATGATCTCCGTTTGAAGAGATCGTCCACACGGGACCTCCAACTGGGTCGAAGGTAGAGACCGCACCGCGGTCCGACAAGGGGAGGAGACTGCGTCTCACGGACAGCATGATACGACGTAGTATACCTGTTATAAAGTGGATGTACACTTAGGAGATCTTAGGGGTATCCCTTCTAGTAATCAATCCTGCAATGCCGTCCCCACCTCCTTCATCGCAAAGGCGTCCGAGTCCACAGAATTCACCTGCGTTTCAGGACCCGTCCAGGAGGCTTTTTCCGATTCTGTGGGCTTCCATAGTGATCCCATCTTGCACTCACAGGATCTGACCTGAGTGGAAGACCTGAAGACCTGAGTATGCCATCCCCAGTTTGCTGAAAGCATATCCCATCCCCGGTGAGAACGTCGTGAGACCTCGCCTTCTGGAGCTTCCTAAAAGAAACAATATATCTTCAAAAGCACCTGCATCACCATGCAACACCACGCAACGCAAAAACACCTGACAGCGCAGAAACATCATCTGACACAGCGGTAGAGTTAGAAGCACAAATCATAAATCCCGGAACCTGACTGTGATTGCAAAAAGTGGGATACTCCTTGCCTTTGACCTAGCCAACAGCGCCAGGGATGAGATACCCTGAGTTCATATTACCACAGAATACCACAGAAATCCGATCTATAAAACCCTGCACATTCCCTGGCACCCGCGGGCACATCCAACTTTCTGCCTCACATCTCTCTCTCCGAAGTCGTCGCCATCGCGCACGGCCCGACGCCGCGAACGACGCATCCGCGCGCCCTGATGATCCGCATGCCGATGGCGACCACAAAGTGGAAGCGGCCGGCCTTGGCCTTAGGCCGACGGTGAGCGGAGCCCGTGAGTTCCTCCAGATCCGGTGGAGCCCATGTGACTGGAGCCGGAGTGTCACATGAGAGGATGTGGGGAGTGTAGCGGAGAAAATCGGACTCTTTTGAGGGAATTCAGCAGGTGTTCAAGGGTCCTAAACGGCCAACGGCGCTCAACATCTCAATTTCTTCTTAATGTGAATATAGGTGCTGGATTTGATTTGAGGCTGGTGAGTCCAGCGAGATGTGTCGCACTGGTACCACGGTACCACGGCCATGTCTCTCTGTGCGGGGTCTGCTTGAGACAGAGACAGCGGGGGCTCGTGGGCCGTGCATCAAGCCTTCGAGTGCAAAACTCACAGGTGCTCAGTAGGGCAAGTTGAAACGACACTGGGAATCAAGCTGAATAGTGAATGCAAGTCACCTCGACCTGGTCATTGGAGGCCCAGTCACCCCCCCCTCGTGGCACAAGTGTCCATCAGTTTTCTCAACTGCGCCCTGCGAATGTCGAACAGCTAGGGCAAGCACCATCTCCTGGTTGTGCTCAGGAAGAGCGCCTTCCGTTCCAACCTGTCCAACTTGAACTCCAAACTCGGTGAAAAAGCATCCAAAAATATCCAAAGATTCTACACGAGGACATGGGTTGTCCCGAAACGCCACAAACAGCTGAGCCATACTAGCCATACCACTGACAAACAGCCACGGACTAGCTTTCACGAACTATCAAGTTATACACCTGCAAGTTATAAGATTAACCGTTTTGATACCAGGATATAAGGACTTTATCCTATAGATCTTCTCAGTCGCTTTGGGAAATGGATCGTCCTGGTTCTTGTCGTTCGCTGTTCGCTGTTCCCCTCCGTCCGCTTCAGGACACGAGTTCGCTGGGAAACTCCGACTGGACCCGTTCAGTCTCGTGCAAGCCAAAGGGCCTCCCAAGCATTCCCAAGCGAAAGGCCAGATAGGCCAGATTCATCCGGACCATGGTTCTCTACTGTGAAACTTTCAAAGGTGTTGGGACCCTCCAGACCATCAAATTTGAGGTGTCGACGAAGACCTCACCCTCTCAGAAGGTGTATGGATCATTGTGGATCCATAGGGGAAAAAACCATGAATGAGGCCCTTTCTGTTGAGGCCCTTTCTGTTGGACCTCCATCCAATCACCAGGTCGGATTGGAGGCCTCGGTAATCTTCAAGTCCCGAAGCTTGTCCTGCGTCGGCTTTTCAAACCTCAGGCAGACGCAAGCTGCTTAATT